GATTTTAGTACTCTTTCACTCGGCTAGTGCCTTCATGAGTGACCTCAAGAGTTACTCCAAATAATCAAAAGCCGAATCACAAATTAAAACACGATTAAATTCATTTTTGTATAGTGCACAAAACAAAGCATTCATAGCCTTTGCGTTTAAAGCAAAAACCTTCTTCTCCGATACATTCCATTCGCTCATCGGAAGAGAAGATTTTTGAAATCCGTTTTCAACAATAGTCTAAAGCTCGAAATCCATGGAAATGAGGAAGATCCTCATACGAGTCTTCCAATAAGTATAATCTGACCCATTAAACAAGGGTGGACGTGTGATAGAATGACCCTCATGTATGTCGGAGTAAGCCATCTCTCTTGGGTATCAAACCAAATATGAGAGTGAGCCTAGCTCTGATACCAATTGTTAGGATTAGAGCGGCACTAAGAGGGGGGGGTGAATTAGTGCAGTGGATTAAAACGTCAGTTTTGACAAATCTTTCGTACGATAAAAATCGAACTCCGAAGTGCTTAACTTGAAAACATATTAGTAAAGTTGTGCAGCAAAGGTAATGAGGAAATAAAGCAAGTAAAAAGATTTGTAGTAATGTAAATAGTAGTAATGAAATGCAAACCAGAGATTATGTCGATTTTAAAGTGGTTCGGTCAAATGACCTACATCCACTTGCGAGGCCCCTCTTCGATAAGGCTCCCACCTTCCACTAGCAAATCTCTTGAAGGGGAAGGGTAAATACCCCTCTTACAACTTTTTACAAGCGGTTCACTCTCTTACAGATTTTCAGCAAGAAAGAAGGAGGTGAACACTAGCAAATTGAAAACAAGACTAGCTAAGACTTTTCTAAGACATTTCTCTCAATCAATTGCTTCTCAAAAAGTTGTAATCTCAGCTGAGATTTGAGGGATATTTATAGGCCTCAAGATGATTCAAATTTGCATTCCAAAATTTGAATTCTCTTTGGTTCCCGATGCTGGCGGTGCCACCGCCTGTTAGTGTCTGAAACTGACAGTGCTGGGCGGTGCCACCGCCTGGCTCTCCAGTTCACTGGTTGGGCTTTAAATTTAGCCCAAACCAAATTTAATTTTGGGCCCAATTGGTCCCTAACCAGGATATAGGATTATCTCTTAATCCTAATCCTAATTACAAGTGAACTACATAACTAAAAACATCCTAAGCAAGTTTTCAACCGCGAACATCGAGTCTTGTTCCGGCGAGCTTTCCGACGAACTTCTTCCGACGGACTCCCAGCAAGCTCCCGATCTTGTGATGACTTTAACGAGTAGCCGAGCCTTCTCGGTGATCTCCGTGAACCTCCGACGATCTCTTCGGGAAACTTCCGAGAATTCCGACAGGTTCCCAATTTCTTCTCGGTTGGTTCCGGCAACATCTCCGACGATTCTTCGAACTCTTAAACGTCCATCGAACTTGACTCCGGTATTCTTGCTTTGTGTTTTCTGATTATCGTAGTTAATCCTGCACACTTAACTCAATAATATGGATTAGATCAATTAACCCATCAATTGATTTTATCATCAAAATCCGAGATTCAACACACCTCAGTTGAGATGAGGAGTTGTCCAATGGTGATCCTGGGAGGCGACAACCCGAGATCGATGAACAACCTCTAGTAGCAGCTCGGGGTTGTAGCAGAGGCATTTCCTTCTTGGCCCGATGGAGGTGGGAGTTGCCCTCCAAACCCGAAGGCTGAGTGAGTCGGGAGGGGCTCTTCTCTAGGGTGTTCGCTCGGGTTGCTTGGCTGGGGATAATCATGTGACATCGGGTTCCTCCTTCTAGCACCAAAATGTTAGTGAACCTTTACGTCATGGCCAAGGAGTTAGCATGACTCAATCCGGTCCTAGATCTACAAGGTTGCCTATGTGGAGACTCGAGTGGTAGAAGTGAGCATCGGGTCGGGTTGGGTCATGGGCCTCGTCGCCTACTTCTTTGTCGCCAAGCTTCTATACTCAAGTCGAAGTCGGGAGGGGGGTTTCCCGACTCGACCTGTTCGAAGTTTAAATTAGAATTAAGTAGAATCAGAAAGAGTCCTCCCCCCCCCCCCCCGGCATTGGCCAGGTGGTGAGTTTTTATACCTACACACAAGGGTCGATCAAACCTAGTTCATTAATGACCTTCGACCCCTTAAGTAGCCAGTCCATATCTTCCATGCAGACACTGGTCAACTTGCATGGATCGACACCGTCCTGAGCTTTCTAGGGCAACTTCGTACCCAATGGCATCGTCCCGAACTTTCCGAGAGCAAGTTCGTATCGTGCGGCATACTTTGCGTGGCCTTGAACAGCATGGGAGGACGGCTTGTTAATGACCACCAACCCCTTAAGCGGTGGCTCATATCTTCCATGCAGACGCCGATCGACCTGCATGGATCGGCGCCATCTCGAGCTTTTCGAGGTGGCTTCGTTCCTGATGGCATTGTCTCGAAATTTCTAAGAGCAACTCTATACTGGGCGGCATACCTTGCACGACCTTGTACAGCACGGGAGAATGGTCATGTCGTTTGAGTTCGAGGCGTCGCGTCGACGTGATCCACCATATCGGCTTTGAAACTCCACGTTAGTGCTGTCATGACTATGGACTGCTACCAAAGAGCGTGGTACCAAAAATGCCCTATCAATATGTATATATATATACATAAATACATATATATGTATATGTTTATATATATATAAATATATATGTATATATATATACATATATACATATATAGATATGTACATATGTATATATGTATATATACATAAATATACATATAGTATGTATATATACATACTATATGTATATTTATGTATATATGCATATGTATATATTCATATAATATATATACTATATGTATATATATATATATATATATATGTATAAATACATATGTATATTTATAAATATATATATATATGTATACATTTTTATTTACATATATATGTATATATATATGTATATATGTATATATATATGTATATATATACATATACATATATATATACATATATACATATATACATATATATATA